TTCACAGAACTTAGCTTCTGAGCATAACCTAATTTACTTGTTTACTAGTCTTACTTAATTGGTTCTTCCCTTCTCTCTTTACATGGTACTGTCAGAGGGCAGGAAACTTGTATATTTTGTGTGTTTATTTTAGTTTGTTTTGGAAGCCATATCTGATGGTGGCCAAGGATTGGTTCTGGTCTGGGGTCACTCCTGGTGGTGCTCAGGGGACCATATGTGCTATGGATTGCACTCACAGCTTCCTGCATACAATGCATGTGTTCTGGTACACTGAGCTAATTCCCCAGACTGACACTTTTCTATTTTATTTAATATTGTTTATCTGATTATTTGGAATTATGTCCGACACAAAGTAGCTGCTTATGAAGATGGTTCCATTATGTCCAACTAGAATCACATGTAGATGATATTTCTTTGAAGAGAAACTGGTGCAGATTCAAAGGTATATTTCATTACTCTTTCTTTTCCTTCCCCCCACCCCCCGTTTCTATTTTAGCTGACTTTTACTCTATCAGAACACAACTCACATGGCAGGATTAAGGAATCCACAGAAATGGCACAGATGAAAATAGTTTCTTACACTAGAATGCACTATGAAATATTTCACTCGTGGAGAGGCTCTGTGTTCTCTCGTGAGCTGACATCTATTTGTTGCAGGGAGTGGGGATATTTCTACTACATCAGGGTGGGGGCCTCAATTATCTTCATCACAAGGCAGCATGAGTGAATGCAAAGTGACTTAAAATTCAGATTCACTTCCCCTTGAGTTAAGAACTCTGGGCCTTTTCAGAATGGGGGCGGGCATATTTCCAGTTCTGTCTGAAGGTCCAAAAAGCCACATTTGACATCCTCCTACAGACCTCATCAAACTACCAAGCCACAAAATTGTCCAGGTCTGAAGCTCCTGGACAGCACGGCTGCATTTTCATAGTATTATCTGCCCAGTAGGATTACAGCAAATCTGATGAGAAAATTGCAGAAGCCCACCAAGCTCAGTGAGCCTGAACACAGAGGCTCAGCTAGCACCAATCAGCACAGCAGAGCCTCAGTTAGTGACGTTAATAACATCATTGTGAGATATAACAATTACTACAAATTGACTCTGATTGATCTAAGTTATGGTATGACCATTTGCCTTTGTGTTGAGGCAAACAACATTGTAAATTTGTTTGTGCCAGCAAAGGGGCAGGCTGTGTGTGTGTGGGGGGGGGGGGTGGGAAACTGGGGACACTGGTGTTGGAACACTGAATGTCTGAAACAACTGTATTATAAATAATGTCAGTGGTAAATCACAGGGTTATAACAAAAAAATTTAAATAAAGTTCAGATTCATCAAGAATGAGTGTCAGAAGTTGAGTGTGACAGCACCGAAAAGGAGAGAGAGAACAAAAGGGAGTGCCCTGCCACAGAGGCAGGGTGGAACGGGGGTTGGGGGGTGGGAGGGATACTGGGATTGGTGGGGGTGGAGAATGAGCACTGGTGGAGGGATGGGTACTTGTTCATTGTATAACTGAAACCCAAGCACAAAAATCTGTAAATATACAACTGTACCTCGTGGTGTTTCACCAATAAAAATTTTTAAAAAGAGATGATGAGTGTGAATCTTCTATTATTCAAATGGGAAAACTGAGGGGTCAGAAAAGCAGAGTGGCTGTTCATATGCACAGAGTGACCAGAAAGGCAGACTTACCTTTTTTTCCTTCCTCTTGTTTTCCTTTACTTCCTGTTTTCCTCTCTTTCCTGCTCTCTCTTTATTTCTGTCCCTTTCTCTCTCCATCCATTCCTCTCTTCTCTCTTCGTTAGAGTTCTTTTTTTTGGAAGCATGGTGAACTCTTCAGTGCAAAATGGCGACTCAATGATACAGTACTTGCCTTGTATGTGTGAGTCCACTTCTTGGTACCACACAGAACCTGAGCTAGACTAAAAGTGACACCTTAACCTGGAAGCAGCTCCCAACAACCACTGGGAACCACTGGGTGGGTCCCAAAGCCAGGGGGAAGAGTAGGAATGATTTACAAAGAGAGTCAATACATTGCTTATACATAATTTAAACTGAGTGTGGTGAGGCAATTTCCCTAGCTTCTCAGGTCTCTCCAACAATTTAGGTCCCTAAATTTGCCATTAATGATGCTTCTTTCAGAAACTCTGAACTAAAAGTTCCTTAGATATCATTTAACCCAGCCTTCACAAATATAAAGCAACAGACTGACAGAAGAAAAGTGAATCTCCCAGATCACAAAGTTAGTTGAGAGCTAAAAGGAGACCACCAGGATTCTGCACATCAGAGTATTTGTAGGTGACCTCAGAACAATTCTCAGTTTTGTGTATGTCTGTGATACACAAAATGTCTGTGAGGCATCAGGCTAGCCTGAAAACTTAATTTAAGCAAGCAGATATCAGATCAAGGATGGAAAATTTTTCATTGAGCAAGTAAATACGATTCTAATGAGAAACCAAGTAGAAAATAGAACCCTTTAAAACAGAATGCACACACAGAGAGGCACTATGTGATTATGAATATATATATAAGCTGTTTATTTTTAAATACTTGATACTAGGCATAGAAATTCACAGTGCTAACAAGGACAGCAAACCATATTGTGAGTGGAACAATCTTGACAGAGTATTTTTGGAATGTTACCCATAAATATCTGTAGAAACTAAAGTACAACATATCCTTTGAACTAGCAAATCTATTCCAGGAAACTGGATCTAGAGAAATAGAACTATACAGATACATGGATGAGAATACTTATTAAAACTCTGTTCCTATATAGTGGAAGAAAACTCTTATCAGGCACTCCAACAGAATAATCTGGAAACACGGGCCAGAAACTTTCCTTAAGAGGTAGAGCACATACCTAGGGTATACAAGGTCCAGAGCTCAATGGTCAGAATTGATACGCCTCCTCCAGCATCACCAGGTGTGATCTGGATGGCATCCAACACTATCAGGAGTGGTGCCCATAACCAACAAAATACAAATAAATAAACTAGTACAGTGTATGGAACTTTGTGGATTTTTTTTGCAATTAAAAGGTAAAGGTAAAGGCCCTCCCGTTGATCGTCGATTTGCTCGAGCGGGCCCAGTAACGTCTCCATTGGAGACTTTGTTGTTACTGTGTCTGGCATATCGAATACTCTCGGTAGCTTGCCGGGCTCTCCGAGAGGGGCGGAGGATTCGAACTCGGGTCGGCCATGTTGGCCGCTTGTAAGGCGAACGCCCTACCCGCTGTGCTATCACTCCAGCCCAAATAAATGACCATATTCTACTAGTAAAAATACCAAATTGTAGGGCCAGAGAAATAGTACAGCAGGTAGGACATTTGCCTTGTACGCAATGGAACCAGATTCAATCCTCAGCACTCCATATGATCCCCCAAGCCCAGCAGGAGTGATCCCTGAGCACAGGACCAGAAATAAGCCTGAGCACAGCCTTGTGTGGCCCCCCAAAACAAAAAAAAATTAAAGAAAACAAAACTGCAGTCTAATTTACAAAAATGACTTTGTAGACAGACCACTACTTCAGACACACTCTTCTATGAGCACATCCACGCCTGCTTGGAGGGAGCAGTGAGCATGATAGAAAGTCTTTAATGCTGAATACCCCAAGGGGAAAGTGACAGATGCAGAGGGAAGAGAGATTTTCTTTATTTATCTTCAAATGTTTATACTGTGCATATATATACACATATATTTCTTTGAAAAGCAAGTAGATTAAGCCAAAGAAATTCTAAAAATAAAGACAGAAGATGCCCACAAATAGTTCTCCAACTCCTGTTTCAGCCTCCCTTCTTCCCCAAGAGAGCACGAAGCATAGAATCATGCTGAGAAAATTACTCAACGAAGCCAAGTGACCCTCTCGACTATGCCTATAAGCCTCTGGCTGCCAAGTCTGTCCTCTCAGAGAGTTACCTTCCCCATCCCCTTGTCATAGACCTGAAACAGAAAATGGCCTGTGAACTGGCCCTTGTGAACACTCTTCCTTTCACAAGGGAAGAAAACCCAGTCTCCTTCATGTGAAATCAATTACTGAAGAAGTTTGCCCTCATTATGCCCTACTCTTTTTAATAACAAAAATTGTATAATGATAAATAACACAATAAAGAATGCCACATGGGTGGATCTGGAGAGTAGCGCACTAAGGTAGAGGGACAGACAAAAAATGATCTCGCTCATATGCAGGATATAAAGAAACATAGTAGGGGAATATCTAATGCTGAAAGCCAATATAAATGAAGAGCTGGAGAACTGGTCCTTAGTGGGAACAGATACTGCGGGTGGGTAGAGGGGATCAGTTAGGGAGGAGATGACCATGACAAGGATAGAGGGAAGTGGTCACTCCAGAAAAGGACTGCGTGCTGAAAGGAGGTGAAGCAATATGCACGACACCCTGTCAGTAACAGTATTGTAAAGGGAAAAAGGAAAATGGGCTTGCAGTAGAGGCAAGCTAGGGGTGGATGGGAGGGAAACTGGGGATACAGACGGAGGGAAGTAGACACTGGTGAAGGAATTGGTCTTAGAACATTGCATCCTCAGATTCAATCATGAGTAACTGCAATTTTGTAGTTCACAGTGATTTAATTTTAAAAATGAAAGAAAAAAAAAGAATGTAGAGTTCACTTGTCACAAAACTAAGAAGGACATAGAAATGAATTCTTTTAGGCAAACCTTCTGAGGCACCTGGGCCAACTACTTGAAAAACAGGCCTTGTCCCCTTGGGCCTTTTATCCCTTAGTCCTGTTCCAAGTTTCAGGCATGTTAGTGATGATCTAGCTTCAACAGTGATAAAACTGCATTACTTCAAGTATTAACTGTGCAAGTCCTTCATGGCTAGTGCTTCAAAGAGAAGTGTCACCAGCAACTTCTAAACTCCAAGCAAGTGTTATCACCATGAAGATACAGGATTTTTCTGTGGGGACAGCCCAATCTTCAGACCCACCCTCGACTCTATAATCCTTGTCCAGACAAATGAGAAGAAGGAAGAGAGATGGACTTACCAAGCCAGCTTCTGTTTAAGTACACAGACACAAATACCGGGGGAACTGTGAAGAAATCTACTACAGAGTTCACTTCCAGCCAGAACCACAGCTTATCATTGGCTGCAATAAACTGGGGGAAGGAAAAAGAAGAGAGAAATAAAATGAGAAGCATGGAGCCAGCATTCACACAAAACTCCTTTACCAGAGAGAACGCGAGTTTATTTGTGTCTCTAGTACTCTGAAGGGAGATATTATGTTCTTCTCATAACTATGTCAATCACATGCTATTCTGGCCTTAGAATTTTGACATGGAGGCATTTCTAAAGAATGACTACATGTCATGTTAGCTTTGGAAAAAGATCAGGTGCTGTATTTCCCCCTGCTTTCCAATAGCATCATTGGGGTTATTGAGTAATCTCACCTCTATTATGCTCTCTAGTGTAAACATTGTAACTAGTAATATAAAACAAGGCATGCATGCATGAGTTCATTCATGAATATGTGTGTAAGCACACACCCACACACCTCTATAATGCACATTACATATTTTTCTCTTCATAACGGGACTAGAAAAAAATCCCCTAAGCCCCACATTCTGCCCATCAACACACTTGAGGATGATCCTCAAAAGTGTTCCATTGCAATTCGGCTAAGTGGCACTGATAAACGTATTTTTAAGAGCAGAAATCTTTTTGTTTCTATAGTTAAGGGAACAATGCACTCATAAGTACACAGAAGGATGAGAAACAGTTAACTTGCAGAGATATAATAGTTACTACAATAAATGCTTCTCCTTCTTGGAACAAAATTAACATGCTCTTTAGAAAGTGCTCAGCTAAGGAAAGGCCTCCTCACAGACTGAAAGAAAGCAGGTCTGTTGTTTCCCGGGGAACCCTAGACATCAACTTGCCTGTTGGAGAAGGTTAAAAAACACCCGTCATGGTATGAAGTGGTGTAGTGGAAACTTACCCGCAAGCCAAAGTAGAGAAGGAAGAAGACGTTGAAAGCCATGTCGATCTGTAATGTGAAATCTTTGTAGAAATTCTGGCAGGATTCTATTGGGCTATTAGACAGGAAGAAGAAAAAGCAGGTGGTAAATGAAAAGCAGTATCAAGTCTTCTGCCAGGTGGTACCTTGGCTGGGCTCAGGGTAGAGGACAAAATGAATGTCCCCCCAAATAAAACATTTGGTCTTCCTACCCCCCAGTGATATTCAAGCAAGCATTGCCAAGGGAGTCTTCCATTCAACCATTCAGTCTTTGGTTCCTTGTTGTTTGTAATTGCTTAGGTGTGCGTTATTTTTTTAGGTTGTCATTCAACTTGAGCTAAGAATCTGAAGAGGATCATGCAGAGACTTTGGAGGAAGGACAAGCAGGAGAGACCACTAAATTCTTCAGTTTATATTATTAACCCTTAAAGAACTGACTTCTTTCTTTTAGAGGACATGTAAGTAGCAGAGCCAAAAACAATTACTCACACCCTCTATAGTGCCTTGGAAGAGGAGCACATTTTCAATTAAGCACAGAGGCTGTGTTTAGGACCTTTGGTCAAGTCATCAGTTGATTAATCTTTAAAGGACCCAGAAGCATCTCAGGAAAGCTGTGGAAGAGAGGATCCTGGTTGATGTTCTGGCTAGACCAAGCAAATAAGAACTTTGGGTGAAGCAATCGGATCTCGGGGAGGAAGCATTGTTCAACTAGTCAAATTCAAGGTTATTAAATCAAAATGTTGAAGCAGTACTCTAAGGGTTAATTTTTTTTTTGGTTTGTCTTTTGGCATGCAGTTAATTGGCTTTGTGTGTGTTAAGCAGCCAATGCGAACCCCGAGCATACTCTGCTATGTTCAAGAGTTGACAGTTGAAAAGGGTACTACTATACAAACTGGTACATGGCTTCCATGTGCTTTCCCGGGCCAAACTGATCAGAGGATCAGAGTCTGAAAAGTCCCAAGGTTTGGGCAGGGTGGGAAGCAGAAAAGCCTCATAAGCATCCCAAAGCTGTGAATGAAAATTCAGAGTACATTGTTATCAGTAAGCAAGGAGACAGGAAGGTGAGGTGAGGGAAAGGGGAGGGCGTAGGGATAAAGCAAAATATTTTCCCCATGGGAAGCAGTATGGTCCCTGGGTTCCTGGAGAAGGGTAGCTTGAAAAGTGCAGGATGGAAGGCTTCCAATAGCACCACTTTGGAAATCACCATATGGGATACCAGTTAGTATAGTGGTACTTCTGTAAGGAGAATGCTTGGTTATTCAACAGGCAGTCGGAGAATATGGGGCTCTTAGGGAGAGAGGTATGGTGGGTCAGGCTGTGGGATTTTTCCACAGATTACATGCACTGGGTTTATTCATTCTTCGTCTTTATTACAAGTCAAACATGCCCTTCATGTCATCTTCCAAATCACAAATATGTGTAGAAACTTCCAGACAGGCAGGAAGAGTCATCTATATTTGCATTTAATAACTAAGCCAATTGAGCAAAAAACAAACACTGAAAGACAGCTATTCTTTAAAAAATGACAATTGCTGGGTTTTTGCTAAACTAAGAAAGTGGAAGGAGAGAGAGGATGGAGTTTGTCCAATGCTGAAAGGAGGTGGGAATAAAAGAAGCTACACATCACAGCCTATCACTGCTCACTTACACAGGTATTACCTTAAAATAAAAGGAAAATCCATACAGAGTGTATAAGTGACCCTTCTGCAGTTTCCAGACCATGATGGCATTTTGTTCTATTTCAAGAACCAAACTTAAAATGTCTGAAGTTGTCAGAGATCTTAACTAATCTAGTAACAATGGACTGAAATGAACTAGATTGACAAGAAATTTTCTATAAAGTCCAGGTATGAAATGACAATACATCCCAATGCTATAGAATCCTCTGATAATGATGTGCAATTGAAGATCAACTGGGCTCTGTATGTGTGTGTGGGGGCGGGGGGCGGAGGAAAGACCAGGTAGATGTTGGTAAATGTTGTACTCCATGAGTTCAACTGTACCCATCAACATAATTATGCATTGGAACTTTGTATTCATCAAGATTTAATGTGTTAAAAAATTAAAAAGGAAAGGAAGATTGTACCATAAACAGTCAATGGAATAAAGATAAAGTTTTGGTTCCCAAATATATGAAGGAAAACTGACAACTTTGTCAGGGTCAAATAAAAACCTTACTCTTGCCCTCAAACTAGTTATTGAGGGAATCCTTGGTAAAATATTGGGGGCACCACGAGATGTCTAAATTTATTTTATTTCATGCTTTTTGTAATTTGGTAGTAAACTCAAAATATATCTGGAGAGGTGGCAGGTAAATTAATGCTAGACTATAGAAGAAATGGTATAGTACAGAGAGATATATTATCTTTTGAGGATATTTAGTTCTACATAAACAGAACCAGATATCCTAGTGAGTATAAGGAGTCCACTGTAGCAAACTTTATTGTTCCTTGACTTAGTTGTCATTTCTGAATCTTCTTATTGCCAATACCCAAAGACAACAATGAAGAGGCTTAAAGCTAGAGGACACTGAATTTAAAAAGAAAAATACCTCATTAGCAGCTTTGATTTATAGAGAACAATAGTGAACACACTATATGTCTTTTATAAATCTTTTCAAAAATTTTTAATTAAAAAATGAAAAGAGCAAATTACGCTGGTAGGGGTGGCTGTTTTGCCTCTGGCCAAAGCCTGTCAATAACATGAGTACACGCCAATAATATGAATGGGAGGGAGAAAAGCAGGAAACTCTAAGATAAAAGGGGTCAGTCCATTCATGCTACCCGGAAGGTCTCGTGATAGAGAGACCTGTAGCACTGTAGCACTGTCCTACCATTTTTCATCGAATTACTCGAGCGGGCCCAGTAACATCTCCATTGTGAGACTTGTTGTTACTGTGTTTGGCATATTGAATACGTCACAGGTAGCTTGCCAGGCTTTGCCGTGCGGGTGAGATACTCTCAGTAGCTTGCCAGGCTCTCTGAGAGGGGCAGAGGAATTAAACCCAGCTCGGCCAGGCCGGCCACACGCAAGGCAAAAGCCCTACCGTGGTGCTATCGCTCCAACTCCTATTATCTTTAGGTCTTTCCTATATGTTATGAAAGCCCAGAGAGCAATGTCCAGTCTAGTTTTCTCAAATGACCAACACAACTTTTTACTGGGATCTCTGAAGTAAATCCTTCTGATGATTTTTGTACACAGACTCATGCAACCTGAGACCAGAGCAGATATTCTAAAACACCAACATTTCATTCCCCAAATATAAACAACTCATGGAGAAATAAATTTTTTAAACAAAATATGTTTTTAACCTTCCCACAGCAGAAAGGTTGGCCGTATCAGCCAACCTTTGTTTTTTTTTTCCCAAAGAGACTTTATCTCAATGAATAATGCTGATTGCAGAATGGAGAAGGAAACACAAACTCTTCCTTCTTGTGTAAAGTAGGGGAGTTCCTGTGATACATGTACAGCAGTTTCAAGAGTTTCAGAAGACATTATTTTTTAAGTATAATGAACAATGACTCTGCATTACACTTAAATTTGGATTGCCATTCTAATTAGGTAAACACATACAACAGGTGTTATAGCGGGGGGTAGAATAAAGACTTTAAAACTAATTCTGGAATGGAAAATTGACCGCTTTAACTCTGAAAATGAAAACCAACCGACTTTCTTAAATTGTTCTTAGTTAAGTAATGAATTAATTATTTGAGGACAAAAGAGACTTGATAAGCTTTAGCTTTGAATTCCTAGGTTTCATCAGTTCATGGAGCAAATATAATAATAAAATTTGGGCAAATGGAGAATTTTGACCAAGAGTTTTTGATTGAAGCACCTTAAAAAATGGGTCTGCTTTTGATGGGATAAATAATCAGTGCAGGATACAGGTTAACATTCGAGTCCCCATTTCCTCTTGCCCATCAATAAGCAGCATATCCTCAGTATCTAGATGTCTCCATAGGGAAAATGAGACTTAGGGAAAGTGGGGAAAAGATCTATTTCTTCATTTTTTAACAACATAAAAAGCTCTGAACAGGAAGATCTAACACTTACTGAATACAAACATAAGAACCCATCTTTCCAGGATGGACCAAACAATTGCGAAATTGCGATTCGGGTTTTCTTTAAAAAAAAAAATCAGAAGAACAAGAATCTTACTTCTGGCTGTTTTTCTGAACATCTACATCATCTCCAAGGGGAAAGGAACAGCTATCTCTCCTCAACACCCACTGTGTGTTTGGAAGTCTTTGTGCCTTTCTCCCTGAGTCCTGCTTCCCCCCATTGAGATTCTTCTCCTGGACAGTGGTCACAAACTTCAGCTCCCTTGGAGGACAGGAAAAATGTTGGTAGGACGACCTCCCAGAGTCTCAGTTATAAATTCTGAGGTGGAGTCCCGAGAGTTTACATTTCTAACCACTTTCCAGATTTTATCGCTCATCTGGGGATTGTGTTTTGAGAACCACTATTCCTAGAGAACTTTCTAGCAACTATACACTAATTGCAGGTGATGCTACTGCAGTAGATTCCCATTCAGACCTGAGCGGAGATGATTAAGCGAGTGAGCCCGCCTCCAGATAACCAGCTGCATACCACTTAACTAATTGCTGAGATCAAGGGGTTGAATAGATATTTTCAGTTTCAGATGTGAACAAGGGGGAAAAAATTAAGAAGATACAGGGAAGTAATTACCACGCCAGTAATGCAGGCTTCACCAATGACATTCCAATTAACAAGCAGAGAATGCCTGAGGAGCACATTTTTAGTTTAAGATTAAAAGGGAAAATGATGGAGTGTAGATGGGGAGAAATTATAAAGACCGTCATTTATAAGAGAAAGAAATGAGAAGTCGGTTAGGAACAACAGCAAACATCAGAGGTGCTTTAACAAACAGCCACATGAGAGGGAACAGACTAGCTAAGGAACAAAATAGCACTTGATAGGAGTTCCCAATATTTAAATTCTCCTCACTCTTGTGACCAGTCCCTTTTTAAATTGGATGGAGCTTTCTCAATTCCCACCAGGATTATGGGCCACCAACATTCAGGCTCACAGCACTGCAGACATGAATCAATACAA